CCCCAACTCCCTCCCCCTTATGGGAAAACACATCATTTTATACATGGAATCCCACCCCCCCTCCCCCTTATGGTAGGGTACCCGTGTTTTGAGTTGGTAGCCGTGTTTTTGTTTGGTGGTTTTAAAGGCAGACCACAGCCGAAAACGGGAGATCTCTCCCACGGGAAACCCACGTCATTTGTCGGTCACCTCAGGCGGCGTATAGCATCGTGGGCTCCGCCGCGGAGGACGCGGAAAGGCGCTTGTCCGGCCGGGAGCCCCGAGGATGTGTTTTTTTTTTTTTTTTCTTCGGAGGGCGGGGATCTGAGGGCTGCCGCCCACGTCCGTTTTTCAGGTCCAAGGTTTTGGAGGGCTGGGATCTGCTTAACTTTGATGCAGTTTGCTTGATGTTAGGAATCTGCTTAACTTTGGGCCCCCTCGGGGGCACTTGGAAACAACAAATGAGGGTCCCAAAGTTCGTCGGGACCAAGGTGATGTCGGTTTCCAGACCTTCTGTTTCTTTGGTGCATTTTGCCAAGGGATGTTGGGACTTTAGCTTTTTGCGGACCAATGGGTTTTCCGAATTGAACCACAAGTTAAACTTTTAGCAGGGCAGCAGAAAGCAGCCAAGTTAAGGGCTGTCGCCCACGTCCGCTGTTCAGCTCCACTTGGTTTCTGAGCTCGCGTTGGGCGACATGTGCGGGAAGCCCAAAGACATTGATTTTCAAACACAAACAGCGTGAACCTGCGGGCTTTGTCCTGTTTGTCTTGAAGGCCCACGTTCAGCGTTTGTAATCAAGCTTGAGTCAACAAGTCATGCAGCTTGCTTGAAGAGCATGCTGGGGAAATCCCCATATTTGGTTGGGTCCACCGGCCATGTGTAGGACACCCTATTGTCACGCCCAAAATGCCCTTTGTTTTGAGCGTGACCATGCTTGCAGCCAAGGAAGCCGAGCAATGTGGGTGGTTTCCCATTAAAGGCCATCACAACAAGTAGTTCCCTTGAAACACCCAAGGGCCCAGGTTCCCTTTGGCCTCCCTTCCCCCAGTAGAAATTGACTGTTGTCCAGATTGGAAAAAAATCCTGGGACCTGTTTGGCTTCATTTTGGGGTCTGCTAAATGGGTATGACTCCGTCCAGGGCACCTCATTTTAGGTACCTATTTTCCACCCACACCAGCGCAGTTTTCGGATTCTAAACATATCACATTGGAGTACATCCAATGCCACGGCCGTGTTTCACCTAGCTGAGGTGCGCCTCTGGAGACCGAGGAGGAGGGGCCAGAAGACGAGCTTCTCGGTGAAGGGCGTGGCGTTGGATGTATTCGCAAGTACTGGGCGCTAAATCGCCTGTATGTGTTTCTTAGTTTTGCTGAACCTAAATCAAAAGGGGATGGGTGAGTTTCAATCATTTCCAGGGGTAATGCTCACGTCGGGTCTGTCTTTCTGGCGTTGAGGTTTCTTTGCTGTTGTTTCTGTTGTTTTAAGGATGCCAGGCAGAAGCCAACCATCTGGAGGCTCCCTCATGTTGAGAGAGTCCCACTCGCCCACGGCGAAACAACTGTTTAAACTCTTGTTGTTCAGTTGTGTGGGTGGTACTCTGCCTCCTAATAACGGCGTTCTGTTTCTCAAGGCTACGTAACCTCAAAACAATGCACCGCAAGACTAGAAGTCTTTGCTTGCGCCCATGTGTTTTCCTTTTCAAGGGGCCGAAGCCAAAAAGGTTAGCCTTGTAGCACGGTAGATTTCCATGGGACAGGATTTGGCACCTTTGCGGATTTCAAAGAGAAGTTCACCGATTGCCTGCATCTCCTGGCCCAGACAAATATGGCTATGAATATTAATGGGGAACCCCCTGAAAAGTGGTTGGTGGACCGAAATCCCCACCTAAATGATGTCCACCAAAGCGCCCCTAGGTAAAAATCATGCCCACCTAGAAACATAACTAAACAAACCCTTCGAGCTGCCCTGAGGTCAGGTGGGCCACTGAGCGTTTGGAATCATTTACACTTTTTGTGGTGCCCAGTGAAAGCAAACTGGATAAGAATGCCATGTCTTTTCTTGAGGGTCTTGGGGGTTGTTCTCAGAGAGACGGTCAGGTTGCCGATTGAGCCTACACCAATAACATACACCAACACCTAGGTAGCTGCAGGGATCCCCCTATTTGCTTGTAGCGGTGTGAAACATTGAAATCTGGGCAGAACCTGTGGTAGGAACTGCCAAAACTGTTGCTACTAGTAGCTTCTAAGTGTACAAGGTGATTCAGGGGTTGCCAATGTACAGTCAGTTTCCTCTGGTGAAATTCGGGGGACATGTTGCGCTCGGAAGCACAGGGCACCAAGCGGGCTGGTGTTGCGAAGCGTTCGGGTATTTGATACGGAAACTACTCCAAACATGGCTTGTGCCTTTTTTGGAGGGTACCCCTGTTCGGCCCCCCCTAAAAACACCCACACCCACCCACATGGGGATTTACGCTCAGCCGTCCACCAGAAGGGGCTCATGTAAAAAGAGAACACGCATTAGGTATGCTTTTGTTCGTATCATGCTGGTTGTCTCTTAAGCAGAATGGCCGAACGGGGCTAGCCCATACCTTGTGACTCAAGGCCTTAGCGACATTCATTCTGGTTGGTGTCCCTTGAAATGTGAACCAGCAATAAAGGGTTGACTGTTCAACTATGGCTGGGCAAGTAAAGAGTGGACTTTGAGAGGAAAGCCGAAGAAACAACTAGCTGGATCAGGTAGAATTCAGAATAGCCAAAAACCAAGCAGCGACCACGGGGTTGGTCATCTTTCATGGATGGCATAACCTGACGTCGCCCTGCTCCAAGCCCTTTGGTCCCCTCCTGTTGCACCAAGGATGGGTCACGACGCTTGGCGACGGATTGGGCGTTCTGTGGGCGATGTGGCCTTCTGTCGAGATCCTTCCATAAACTGTCTGATTTGTTTCAATGATTTGAAGGCGCTTAGATTCTAGAAAGATGTCTCACAGATTGGAACTCAGATCCTAAATCGGCTGACGCCTGAAGGGTTTTAGCTGTCGGGATCAACGAAAGAGCCGGGTTCAGGGGAGGCTCCCATTGCGAAGCGAGAAGGTGTTTCTTTGGGGGGGGGGGAGACTCCCGTGTGGATTGGTTTAAAAGGGAGGCCACAAGGACACCCAGCTTCTTCAACGGGCTGCGTTTTTGTTGGACTTTTTCATGAATGGGAAAATCGAGGGAAAAGGACCAACAAAAACGAGGTTGGACATCCCTTTCATTTTCCCTTTTCATAAATAGGGCATCCCCTTTTTTGTTTTTCTTTGAACGGGAAAATCGAGGTTGTGTGATTGCGCAGTCTCAGGGCTACGACGAGTACGGTGGCTATGGCGGCTACGGCGATGAATACGGCGGCGGATACGGCGGCGGCTACGGGGGCGAGTATGGCGGCTACGGGGGCGAGTATGGCGGATATGGCGATCACGGACATGGAGGCCGGCAGAGCACCGAGGACAGAGGACACCATCCACTTCGCACCAATTGGGATAGACTTACCCTACTGGCCTAAGTCACCTATCAACTGTTCCGATTTTGAAACCATCAGCAGTTGCTATGCTTATTGGGCACCCGTCGGGTTGGGGATTGTGTTTGGGGGTTGTTTTGGGGGGTTTGTGTTGGGCAGCCCAAATAAAGCCACAGACCTGCGCACAGTGATTTCGACGTTGCAACCTGCTGCACTTTGACTGTGGTTGGCACCCGGTGAAGCTTCCGTTCCAAGCTTATGCCGGGATTGGTATATGGCTGGGGGTCAAAAACATGTACCCAAAATGGAACCCTGGTAAATGGAAACTTGGACTACAACCTGCGGTCCCCTGGTGGCTTAATTTTGACCCACACCCATATGGGGTTGAACCTCACGGCAACGGCCAAACCACAACGGACACTTTTTCCTCTTTTTGTTCCTTCTCGAGAGGCACGTCTACCCTTTTCGCTCTGTCTTTTGAAGCAAGCTTGTTTCGTGTTTCCCCTTTTCGGATCACTGCAACCAAAGTGAAACTCATTGGCGTTGGGCTCAAAAGTGATGCTGTTTGAAGGCCTAGGGCCTACGAGAGAGATCAGAAATACCAGCCATCCGCAGGCCAGAAGCTATGATGCGTAAATCACAATGCCTATGGTTGGCATGCCCATTTCGTTTAGCAATGGATAGAGACGATGAAGGTATGTTTCAAGCGGTTTTCTTCAAGCTGAAAATCGAATGTGCTGCATGTAGCCTCGTTCCTGCTGTTTATATGTGTTTCATGCTGAAGCTTGACGTTTCGCACGTTCCACGTCGGACCCGCATTTGGCGATACGCGGTGAAATTTAAACCAAGTGCGCGTGAACAGAAGCGTACGAGGTTCATTTGAGGTGAGCCTTCCAATATCCTCCTTCCAATGTGAGATCATTGGGCAAGAGAAATGCTGGATCCCTCAAAGTGAAGATTTGGAGGGCTCTCATGTCCTATTTTTGGGGTAGGTTTTCTCTTTAAGCCGCCACTTGGCTAATTCTCAGCATGTCACTCTGAACACGAAAAGGCCAAGCTTTCAATCTATGAGGTTCTACTTTTTCACGGCATTGCATTGGCATCTGTTGGCCGAGCCCCTGCAAAAGCAATTGGAATAGTGTTTTCTTTTCTGAGTCTTCTATTTTTATGCCTGTGCGATTGTAGGTATGAGTCTTTGAATCACTAACCTAAAAAAGGGGGTCAGACCTGCCCTAAACAGCAAGCCTTTTTCTTGAGCCAAAATTCGTCGAGGAGTCGAGTGTGCCCTTACGCAAACACACTCCCCCTGCTGCTTCCGCAGCACTTCTGACAGGCCACTTCAGCCCATCTTACAAAAAGCGCAAGGTGTGGGTCCTTTCGGACCTTCACACATCTTGCTGCCCCTAGGGCAATCCGGAAAGGCCGCCCTCAGAACCACCGCTCCAGCCGCTCGTGCCCTTCGACTTGCCGTGGCTGAAGATCCACTCCCACCTCCAGCTACACAATCCTCTTCTTTGCCAGATCCTAGACGATCATCTCCTCCGCTAGAACCCGGGCGACCATCTCCATGTCCACAGCTCGCCCTCCCAAACGGCTTTGCTCCTCCTTCAACAGGACGATCTTCATCTTCGCCCTGTCCTTCACGTTGCCCATGAGGCCACATCTCGCAAGGCATGCTCGGGATGTCCTCCCAGGGAGAGAGTCGGAATTCTCCCGGTCCCCGAAAGCCTCGTTTTTCTGCCTCCTCTCTTTTCACCGTGTACCAGTACCTCTTCCATGATTGCACCGCCATATTCTTGAAGTACGCCATCCTCGCCGGATCACTCAAGGCGCCCTTCGGGACCATGACGTCTCGTAGGCGGCCATCTTCTCCTACAGTCCTACAAGCAATTTCTCTACCCGGGAGCCTCAATGGGCTAGTGGTGAGACGCCTTTCCGCAGGCCAAGGGTCCGGTTTCAGTCCTGGTCCTCCTGTGGAGCCGCCTTCCACTCTGTCTCTTTCGGTGGGCCCTCTGGCCTCTTCTTGCGGTTCTTGTCTCTTTTCTTGTTTAGAGCTCCCTGGTAAACCCGGTTCCTTCTCTTGCGGGCTGCCCTTAACCCCTTCCGGGAAAGTCTCTTGATTGGAGCCCTGATTTTGAAAAGGGTCTTGGCATTCACTCCTTTTTCCGCTACGAAGGCCACGTTTCAGGATTTCCCAGGTCCCCACCGCAAGCAATGCCGTGATGAGAATGATCCACCACAGCATCTGATCCTCCTCTCGCTCTTCCTGATTTTGAGCGCACGTCCCCACAGTCATGCTGAAAATCACCACCAAGATGAACATTCTTCGCCGGAAATCCTTCTCCACGGCGTAGAGCACGTAGGACTCCTTCTTCTCCACACACCTCGAGGTCCTCGGCCTCTTCTGATCTCCCGTCGCTGAGGTATCCGCAGGCCTGGTAGCCGATCCCATCATCGATGCGGTCGCCCCTGAACTTGAAGCGCCCCCGCTGCCAGATGCCCCCGGGTCCCCGGTGTCATCGTGGTCCATCTCGTCCTGACGCTCCTGGTCGGTCAAAGGTCGAACCTCGAAAATGATCTCCCTCCTCCGCGGCCTCACCCAAAATCGCGAGCTTCCCGTCCAGCCTTCTCTCAGCCACCGGTCCCGCCGCCAATTATCATCGACGACCTCGCCCCATACCCCACGGGGTGTATCCTCCCTGTGGTTCACCGGGTTGATGAAGGACTCTCTTCTGTCCAGGAAGTCTTCCAAGAATACGCCGACCGGCACGTCCCGGCGGTCCGGCTCATAAGAGCGGATCCTCTCCACCACATGAATCCTTGTCGCCATAATCAGGTTTCCCGGCAGGAATTCCACTTCCCAGTGATCTTCCGGATCTTCTTCGATCGACGGCTGCCAATCTCCACCCGGATCATCACCTCCAGCTCCAGCAGGCCCCAGGGTTAGGTTTTCTGCCTTCATGACCTTCACCTCCCGAACCCGCAACGCTTGAAGACGCGGCCGCACCGGCCTCGAGAGTTCCACCTCCCCATTCGGGGCCAAAGACCTCGTCCGCGAACCACCTCTTCGGTCAGCATCTCGAACTTGAGGGACTGCGGCGTCCCCCTCCCTGACCTCTCCTTCCAATGGCATCCAGAACGTGGTCGCCCCTCTCCACGCATTCCTGAACCTGAAGGCCTCCTCGCTCCATCTGTCCGTGATGACCCGGCGCCCCAGATCCATGTCCTCGTAGACGATGTTCGTCTGCCGCCTTTGCTCCAGCCTCTCCATCGAAGCTCCGGGAGGAAGGGCATCGGCTCGAGGTTGATAGTCCCCATGCCGTGGCAGCATGTGAATGCGCGTCATTACCATCTCCCTCTCGTTGACCTCCACGTCCCAGAAGTCTTCGGGCTCCTCCTCTATGGAAAATCTCGGGTCATCATCAGGGGGCCTTTCGACCCTACGTTCGAAGAACCATGGCTGGCCGCCCGTGGAAACTTCCTCCCTATCGGGGCAGCCCTCAGGGCAGTGATTGACCTTTAGATGGGGGGGCCCCTGTTCATTCAAGGCACAACTCCCAGCTTTACCCCCAAAACCCCAGCCCATCTTGGCTACTCTTCTGCCCGGTTCATCTTCCCTGGACATCTTTCTTGAGAGCTCAGGTTCATGGTCCCTTGAGCCCTCCCTTGGGGGGCCTGGTTCAGGGACCCTAGGCCCTTTCCCTGCCCCTGGTTCATCTACCCTAGGGGATCTTGTCTCTCCTTTCTTGATTATGCTCACACCGTGACCACGTTTGATCTGCGTGGCCACGTAAGCTACCCCCACGCCCAAGGCAGCCAGGCACAGATTCTTCACCATCACGTCCTCGGCTTGGTCTGGGATCCAGTTGACCACCTTCCCCATGACCAACGCCAGGCCCGCAAGCTTCAATTTGCTCAGGTTCTGCGGGGCTATGTTCTCGGCTGGTGGTTCCACCTCGTCCGGTTCCGCCATGATCATGCCTGCCAGCTCGTAGAACTTGGGCCACTGCGCCTTTGCCGTCATCGCCTTCGTGAGGTAGTCTGCTACCAATCTCGTACCCGGAAGGTGTCTCACCGCCCACCGCCCGCATTTCACTTTTTCTCGTAAAACTTCGGCTCTCAGCCGAAGATGCCTTGTACGCCAAGGCCCATCTGCACTTTCAATTATCGTGATCGCACTGGAGTTGTCTCCATAGACCACGAAGCTTCCACCTCGGCCCTCCAAAGGCCCATGCTCCCCCCGATCTTCACGTGGGAGATCTCCCGCACCTTCCCGATCCGCCGCAGGTAGATCCCCTTCGTGCCCGTCTAGTTCTCCAGGATCGCCACCTCGAGAAGCTCCCGCTTGTGCTCGGATTCCCCCATATAGTTTCTCCTGTCCGTCCATCTCCAGCCGACGAGTCACATCAATAATGAGGTCGTCCCAGGCACCTCCTTCGAGGACTCCCAGCACCACCGCCACTGATTGACCCATCGTCATGGCCTCCAGGTAGCCCACCAGCTCCGCTTCCGCAGTGCTCAAGGTTGTGAAGGCCTGCCTTACCGAAAGCCATTGCACCAGGGCTCCTCCGTAGTACGCCATCACACCCTGATGACTTCGTCCTCCCCCAGGGGCGTAAGAGACATCCGCGTAGAGCTCAATCCGATTCATCGCGTGAGCGAACGGCAGAGCCCCATCCGGTCCTCTACCTCCAACGCACCTGGCGTAGCATAGCCCGAGTGACTGTGTGCCTCGTAGGTACCCAATCATCTCCATCGCCGCCTTCACCACCAGTTGTGGACACTTCGTGATGTGTTGGGCCATCCAAGAAACCCCGAAGGAGATGTCAGCTCTCGTTCTCACCGAAAGCCACAGCAATTCCCCCACCAGGCCCTGTGCCTCCTTGATGTCCACGGCATTAACCTCCAGGGATTCGGGTACCTCCGGCTTTGAGAACGGCACCGGTCGGGACTGCTGCACTCCATGCCGATGAACCAACTCGCCTATGTACGAAGGTTGTCCCAGGAGAAGTCCTCCGTCGGCCCATCGCAGCTCGAAGCCGCAAAACTTGGTCCAATCTTGCCTGCCGACCCACTCCGGAGGGCTACACGACCATTCGCTGGCAATGCGATCCAGGCACCCTTGAACCACGGTGTCCGGGCCGCAGACCATCATGTCGTCCACATAGACCACCAGATGTCCATGAACTTGCCACCGTTGCGTCTCTGCCACCGGTCCGTTCCCGGAGCCGTCCTTCTTGCCCATGATCGACCACACATTGGATTCTGAGGTCGGAGTCAGCCGAAAGTGCACAGCTCCCCGCCGCCATCTGAAAGTCTTCATGGCCTCGTCTCGGAACGTTGCCCAGTCTGCCGGAGAGCTATTCAGGCCGTAGAGCGCGCCTTTTACCCACCACCTTTCTTTGGGTCCACAAAGGCCCGCCTGTTGTAGGATTTGCGGAGGTCGTGTGATCAGCGTCCTCCGGGTCTGCTTCCTTGGCGCCAGAAGGAATGCTCCTTTCACATCCACCGCCGCTACGCTCCAGTCCTCGTGCGCAGCCTTCCTCAGGACACACCGGATGGCGGTACCGTCCACGCCCGAGGCGTAGTTGTCCTTCTTGTCCACGGGATTCTGCTCCTTCCCCCCGTTCAGGGTCGTGAGCATGTTCCCGCAGATGACCACTCGTGCCCGGTGTCGACCATCAGGTGCTTTCACCGTAGTCACGAGCTTCGCCGGGGCGTACTCCGCGTCCTCAATGCCGGGTATGTCGGCGAGGTTGTCCTCGTGGACCTTCTCAACCACCCCAGACGTCTCCGTGATCGCCTTGTACTCCTCCTTCATGGCTGGTATCCACCTTTCGAGGTCCTCCCGCACCGAGCTCAAGGGAACTGTGTAGGTCTGCAACACCTTGTTGAGCTCCCCCGAGTCTGCCGCCTGCATGGAGCACAGCTTGTTGACGCCCTCGACCTCTTGGTCTCTAAGACTCTCCAGCTCTTCCTCCACCTGCGACAGCTCCTCGGAAAGGTAGTTCATGACAATGGCTTGTGCGGCCCCACCTTCTTCATGTAGTGCGACCCGCTTTAGCTCCTCCCCGTAGTGTCTCCTACCTTTCCAGTACCTTTCTCCCAACGCGTCCCTATAGTCTTCTGCGGTCCACTCCATAGGCCAAGACGATCTCCAGGCTGATGTTTCTGGGTTCCATCCTGCCGGCCGCACCGTTTCCTTCCATGTGGGAAGCTCCATGTCCTCCTTCCTGGCCTGGATTTTTGTTTCTTTTTTCTTTTCACTGCCTTCACTATCTCCATACTCCCCCCCCGCTCGCAGATAACGTAGAGCGGGACCGTCTCCTGTCGAACCGCCTTCCGCATCCTTGAGGCGAGGAGCTCCCCCGGGCTCGAGACCTTGTTTGCCGTGAAGTCTCTTTCCCGGCTTTCCGGGGTGAGGATCAACGGTGAGCTCGTACATCGCTCGGTCCGCTAGTGGCTCTGGGAGCACGGCCGCTCGGGCGTGTTGAACGTTGCCCTCTGCGGTTTGAACCACCCACCCCCACATCATTGTTGGGCTTGGGCCGAGCAACCTGACCTCCTTGAAGGGGGCCGACAGTCCTCCGCCTTTATGCCAGCGCTTCGTCTTGACCATCACCTGCGCGTAATAGGGCAGCATCGGGGTCGGGGTGATGCCCAGGTTCTTGAGCTGGTTCTGCATGCGCTCCAACGCCACGTGCCTCATCGCGGTCGGCCACAGACATAGAGGTGCCCCTGTTGATTTGAGGGTCACTCTCAACCTCCGCTTCAGCTGGCCGATCTCACTTTCCACCCTGCCATTGGCGGCATGGTCATCCCCTCCTGTGAGCGTGAGAATCATATTGCGCTCCGCACACCACTGCCTGACGGGCATCGAGAGGAACTCCTTGGCTCGGTCGCAGTGCATGCGGTAGAGCGGGATTCCCATGCTCCTGTACCTCGAAAACAAGAGGCCCAGGGCGAGCAGCACATCCTTTGCCGTTCGTGATTCCAGGACCTCCACTGCCGTAACGTTCTGCACTTGGTACCCTCGGAGGGCATCCTTCATCTCATCCTTGACCTTGGCGTTGACCTTCTCCGCCACCTCATCGCTGACCCTCGGCTCCTGGTCTTCGCAGTCCAGCTCCTCCAGGTCTATCCCTTCTTCTGCTTGGGCTTCTTCCCCAGCCCGATCGCCTCCTTCACTGTCCCCTTCGAGACCTTCTTGCCGGTCTTCTCCCGGCAGGGCTTCTTCCTCTTCCTTAACCGGAACGGCCACCGTAGCAACCAAGGCATACCTCACCTTCCGGTTCGTGCCCACGTCGTTCCCTACCACAAAGGGACCCGTGATGTCCACGCTGAGCACGTAGGCCGAGACCGCTGCTTTCAACCTTCGGTGAGGACGATCTACCCCGGCCTCTTGAAGGCACATTCTGCATCTTCTATCGAAAGGGCAATGTCCTCGGCGGACATGCTCCTTCCACTGCTCCAAGTTCATGGCCTTCTTAACCTTCATGTGGTTCATCAGGTTCAAGTTGCGGAGGTAGACCATCAGTGAGGCCTTGACGGCCGCCACCACTCCCGGAGCCCATGCCGCCCACTCTCGCGATTGTCGAAGGCGTCCCTGCAGTTCTCCAGAAAGCTCTTCGTGGCCGCCCCCCTTCCCATTCTCCAGAGTCTCCATCTCGGGGAGGTTCGTAAGAAGGGTTGTCGGCTTTCTCCGCGCATGGCCATATGGTCCTTGGTCCAGGTTCACCATCGCCATACCCGCTTGGCCGGCAAATTCTATCACCTCCGGAAACTCCCAGAAAGAGGGCATAGCCCCCGCTGCCTCTTCATCCATGTACCTGGCGGGGTCCATGGGATTCTCCTGCAAATATCCCGGGTTCGGCATCCAGCTCGGCTTGTTTTCCGCCGCCCTCAGCCATAAGCCCATCTGCTTAAAGAAGAGCGCCGTGTCCCCATCAACCTTCTGCTGATTCTCCACGCTGAGGCCAGGTAGACCGTGTCGAAGCTCCCCCCGACCTCGAAGCGGGGGAGGCCCTGGTTGGATGTGCCTCATTCTTGACACAGTGCGACAGGGGGGTCCTCCTATAACCGCTCTGATCAGGCCCTTCTCTGCGAGTCCCCACAAATAGGCCCACAGCGCAGGGTTATGTAGGTCCTGTCTCGAGTCCTCCTGCACATCCACCGTGATCACCTCGAAACCCTCCAGGCCGGTCCTTCTCCATTGCTTCCCGTCCTTTCCCGAGAAGAGGTGGACCACCACGCCCTTGCCGGACTCCCACCGTCGTCGAAGCCGCCTGTTAAAAGGGCACCGATTGCTCGCCTCGCCCTCGTCCAGGACCCGCGTCATGTAGGCGATCACGCTCTTCGGTAGCTCCGGAAACCTTGAACTCCACCACTCCTCATCGTCCGTGACCCACTCCGATGCCCCGGCAGAGTCTAGGAAGTCCAGGAGCTTCATAGCTGCCTTCCTCTCCATCACCGGACAGCCAGATCTCAGCCAGCAATCCAGTTTCCCCAGCTGGTGATGTTCGATTCGACACCCCTTAGCTGTCCAGTTGATGACGAAGCCCGCCTCCACCAACGTCCTCAGCGGCACGATCGGCTCCACCGGCTCTTTCGTCAGCAGGGCAATGGTGTCCTTATGTCTGAACATCACCGCCGTCCCGCAGGCTAGTTCTACCTCGCATTCCACCAGTCCCGCCATCTCTTCAGGTCGTGCCTGGCGAAGGGGATGCGTGGCTCCACCGTCCAGCAGGGCCAACTCCTGTCCTGCATCAGGTCCTGGCTGGCTGATCTGCTTGACCCTGAACTTGGCCGCTCTCATCGTCTTGAGGAGGCCCGTCACTTCCTTCAGCAAATCCTCCCCCGAACCCGCTGCTCCACTTCCGCTAGCCGCTGGCTTCGCCGTGGTTCCTGGGGCTTTTTCTCCTCCCTTGACAACCTCCTTGGGGGGCTCCGGGATGTAGGTCGGTACCTCCTTGGCCACCTCTCCACCCTTCTTCCCGTCTTCCTCCCTTCCCTTTACCATTCTTGACACCGCTACCTTGGGGGCAGCTGGCTCTTTGTCCTTCTTCACGGGGCAATCCTTTTTCGCATGACCAACCCCCGAGCACAGGAAGCAACGGTTCGTCTTCACGATGCCGTCCCACGAGTGCACATAGCCGCACCCGTTGCCTTTTCGGCAGCCTCCATCCGTGCCCCAGAAGCGGCACGTCGCGCCCGGGGCCTTCTTCCTGTCCCAACCCCCAGGAGTTCCATCTGCCGGTTTATAGTCTGCGACGGCCTTGATCACCGGGTTCCCCGCATTGGGTGCCGCTGGTGCCGGTGTTGCCGCCTGCGCCTTCCCCGACGTGGCCAAAGCCAGCTCCTCTGACTCCGCCTGCAAGAACTCCGCATAGAGCTTGATGTTATCCAGCTCCGGCAGCACATCCACCATCAATTCCTGACGAATGGACGCGATGCGGAAGCCCACCTGGCCGTTCCCTCTGCAGATAACCTCACCCACCTTATTGAGCACCGCCATAAGGACCAGCCCGTCCGGCAAGGCGAGGTTCAGCTCCTCCGACCGGCTCAACCATCGGCGCCACTGCCGCAGCGTCTGAAGAGCCTCCGCGTTGCTGGTTCCGACCTTGGTATCCGCCAGGTTCCTCAAAAGGGTCCCGCGCTCTGACTGGCCACCAGGCTGATATATCTGGTAGAGGCGGAACATCACATTGATCGATGACATCCGCCTCGATGAGATAATGTCCCGGCGGATGCCATCCGGCACGGCCGCCAGAAGCATGGATATGCCTCTCTGCTCCACCCTGAAGTTGTGCTCCGCTCCTAGATCTTGATCAGGTTGAAGCCGGATCTTCTCCAAGGGAGTCGCAGTGAGCCACTTCGCGTAGGCTCGCTCGGCCTGTTCTAAGACCTTGGCCCACCACATCCTGGCTGATCCCGCGATGTCTGACATCAAGGGGGTGACCACCGTTACCCAGTCGCCGAAGTGCAGCGAGGCCATGTCACCACCCGCAACCGGAAGTGCCGGGAGCTCTAAGTTCCTCAGGGCCTCCGACATGTTCGCAGCGTTTCGCCCCGTGCCCTCATCCGGCGGTGGCACCCTTGGCGGTGGTGGCGGCGGTGGCGGTGGGACAGCCTCGCTCCAGGCCGTACGATAAGAAGCCTCGTCACTGTGGCTTCCTCCGGCCAGGCTCATCCTGCTCAGCTCCGCCTGAAACGCCTCCTCCGCTTCTCTCATGATCCGCCTCCGAA